TAAATTTAAATTGTCTTGAAATAATCCGGGAGTAACTGTATTGCCCTTTCGACTTCAAAATAGCATTCCTCATTCTGAAGGAAAGAGAAAAACGCACTTCTTTCCAAGAAAGATGGCTGTCAAGTAATACTCCTAGATAGTTTACTTTTTCTTTGTTTTCTAAGTTCACATACTGACCAGACTCATTATCAAATATACTGATCTGATACTAATTGGAGTATAAAGTCTTTTCTGATAGGGTCGAAAAATAACGAAATTTGATTTTTTTATATTCAAGGTTAATTTATTTGTGGTTAGCCAATCATACAGTTTCATTGTCTCGGTGTTAACAGTAGCTTCAAGCACTTTTAGGTTTTTGTTAGCATATTGGTGTCGTCAGCAAATAGAAAGGATTTTAATTTAGTAGAATCTTTCGTTATGTCATTAATGAATAATAAGAAAAGTAAAGGTCCTAAGACAGAGCCCTGAGGAACTCAATTTGTGTTATGATAGGATTCAGTATTCGAAGTTCCCTTTTTCTTGACCATGCGGCTTCCTTGGCGATGCGTCTCGTAAATTTGTACACAATAGTGCAAATTGTGGTCAAAGAAACATCGATTTCTGACTAATTTCATTAGTTTTAACTCTATTTCATGCTAATTGACTGTACTTCACAAGAAAACTACCTTACTTCTTCGTACGCTGTTTGTTTGAGTACATCTTTCTTCATAATTGTCTGAACTTACTTTTTTCGCAGACCATATTGCTAGTTATTGCTCTTGAACAACTTTCGCTACATTCCCCATACAGTAAAGTATGTTTTCTATCAAATTCCGTAAAAGGTGTGTAAAACGCTTTTTGAATAGTTGGTGGCCATGCGGAGCATCGTGTACGTCTGCAAAGATTAGACCACRCTACRTGTCAATTTTCTATCAAACTGGACTAAATTATTTAAATGTGCCAATGATTACATATGACGTAATTATGGCGTCATAGCCAATTTTGATATCAAATAAATATAATGACATTAAGAGTTCGTGTTAGTGTGGAAAATAGTTGCTGACGTGAATCGTCACTATGACAGCTAAAGAGTGACGTCACTGTTATATTTTAAAATTAGAGTATATTTTAAAAACTCTAGGATTGAGAACATTGGAAATAGGAAACGAATTTACACACGGACTCGAGGCTTAGCCCTGGAGGTTCAAGAATAGTCAATTAAAGACATCAACCAAATTATTACATAGGAGCTAGTACTCACATTGATTTGAGATTTTGGAGATAACTATCTATGACTATGACGCCATTATTATTACGTTTGTGCATTGTACTTATCATTTCAAAATCTAAAAACATGCTATTGAGAGGGCTGTCAAGTATTATAGGTGTGGAAAGTATCATAACAGATTCAGCGTGACTGTCCACTAAAACAGGACCCATTCGTATCCCAGTTTTTCCTTTTCTTTGCTGAAATATAGAAGTAGTTGTGAAAAATAAAAACGGCTTTCAAAGGGATTCAAAATGGCGTCGCTGAACATTGCACATTGAGGCTGAGCAAAACAGAGCTCAGGAGGAGCCGACGGGCTCTGTTCTTCTAAATAACTGTTYTTGTACGATTTTCTCCTGGGAAAGGGAATTTTGAGCTACATTGTTGACAATGTCACAAGCAAATGTGGGGCCCTTTTTTCTTTAAAATAATATTGTTCCCCAGTGGTAAACGTTTTTAAGGTCATAAACGTTTTTAAAGTCAAAAACGGCTTATATTTTTTTTTAGTTAAGAAATTTTTATTTTCCTTGCAAAAATTCTTAGAAAGTATTCCTTGCCTTGACAGTTCTTTTTTCCTGAATTTCTCGAACCAGTTACAGCTGGCTCGGACATACAAGAACAGATATATTTTTCCCAGGACCCTGTCGGCTCCTCCTAAGAGCTAGAAACTGGGATGTCAGGTATTTTTCTGTCTTACTCTCTTAACGACCTGTCATTTATTTTGCAGTACATAAACTATGGTTAATATTAAGTTTGTTCATTTGGTGTTTCTGTCATTACTGCCGGTAAGCTGTCTATATTTCAATAATTTTTAATCGACAACAACCAAAGGCAAKAAGTGAATAGTTTTCATCGATTTTCATTATAGTTTAGCTTGTAACAAGTTTATTTGCCCTATCACATAATTACGTCACATCAAAACATTCTATTGTTTAAACGCAAAGGATTATGGTCGCCAGMGGGGRTCAGAGTGATTGTGCATACCAAATAAAATGTACATGAGCTATCATTGATAAATCGATGATACACAACAAAACTCTATACACTTGAGTTCTATACTTTAGGAAAGAATGTTAATAGGTCCAAATAATTTCGAGTCTTTCCGTAAGCATCTATCCACAATGTAAACATACTGTGACGCGTCATTATGCAATAGGGCAATAGACAACTGATGTAAAGCCCTTGACAACACGAAGGAGTGGTTGGTTTGTGACCTAAAGTTAGATTTTTTATTTTTTTTAGGCTTTCGTTAAGAAACCTGCCGTACATGGTGAGAAGAACTTTGGAAGTATTTATCAAAAGCTTGGCAAGATGTGCTATGATGATCCTAAAAACTACATCGAAAAGAAATACGGTAAAACTGACATAAACGACCATGAATTTTTRATATATATCAGTCAATTGAAATCCTGGTCCCTCAATTTCCGCGGGAGGGCCGAGAAAGAAATTAACACATTATAGCCGGGGATTTTTAAAACACTGTTTTGACGGCACAATCAACATGGAAGCGGCGGAATTAACGTTCAATTCAAAGGAAGCGATCTGTTATAGCCACCTTGAAAGTTCTTTGCAATGCAGGAAYTTTAACATTGTGGAAATGTTAATTCCCGGTACCACTTCTAGACCTAAAAATACTTGTAGACCGTTGACGATTAACGAAAGCAATGCGTCATCTTACAATAAAGCCTCTCTCAGGTCGCGAATACTTGGCATMAAAGCGAGAGCACTTTGCGATAGTTTGATTTTTGAGAATATGTTGTGAGAAATGGTACTACAAGCTCACTATACTAGTCGTCTCATTTTGTGTTTCAAAGAACAAGGACTGTACTGTGATGTGGAGTTTACTGGGACATGCTGGCCACAAGTCAGGGCAGGCTTCACWGTCTTGCGTCACTGCCCAAGATTATACTTCAAAGATGAAGGTAATTATCATAATTTGTATCATGTTATCAATTCTTCTTTCACTGCATCCGTTTCTTTCTATTCCCATGCATTCCTTTCTCGCATCCATCCGTTCGTTTGTTCATTTATCTAYTCATCCATTTATTTGCTTATCCGATGTCATTYATTATCCCATCTTTCATTTTTTCATTCATGTTTCGGATAAATTCCAAATGTGTTTACTTAGCTCTTATAAGTCGTCACTGCAGYAAGAGTGGAGTATGGGGAATAGCAAACTTTACCTCGTGTGTCAAGCTCACTGCAAAAGAGGCCAAAGAGGTTATTCTTAAAATTGCAAAGGAAATACATTTAACCGTAAGTTAAAATGTCCGCTTTTATACTGCGCTCATAACATTTACACAACGTTTTTCTGATATAGATATATATCGTATATCTAAATATATCATCAAGCTTTGCACATCATTTTTGGTTCACTCTTGCCTTATAAGTGTATCAGAATTTATTGTATCTTTTTAGGTGGATAAAAATCCAGTTCAGAGAGTTGAGAATGTAAAGCAACATGAAGACTACGAACGCAAGATTCATGTTTATCTGATATGTAGTTGGATTACAGAGACGGCTTTATTTCTTACTCTTATAGTCATGTCCTTCCAGTAAGTCGATCATTAAAAAAGTTATTTATCAATTATCTATGAAATACTTATAATATTTCTCCATTTTGTAAACTTGATATTTTCACTAGTGAAAATAACACATTCGGGGTTTCTCTATATAGTTTAAGTAAGAAAAAAGCTATTTTACGACATAATTTTCTTTCATATACAATTATATGATAAATAGAATATTACATGTTCGCATGGAGATACGAATTTTATCTTCCCGTGTTGAAGATCGCTACGCTCACTCGTGAAAGATCTTTTGAACACTCGAAGATAAAATCCGTATCTCCGCGCGCCCATGTAATATCCTCTATATCTCTTTTTTTTTTTCCTATTATTGATTTTACTATTCCTTACTTTGTTAAGTAAAAAGCCTTACAAAAATAAATMAATCGTGTTCCCATTTTTTCAGTGCTACTTCCTGCATGTACAATGTTCAGACTCGTACCCAGTCGTTTCTCTTGCTCTTTATACTGGTCGCGCTGCATGAAGGGAAAAAAGGAAAAGGAGAAAAAGAAGAGTACCACTGGGTACGAAGTCTAATGACATGTGGTCTTAAAGGGGTATTGTCAACTAGCATTCAATGTGGTCATATATTGTGGAAATTATCCATGTGCAATTCGTTTTCATCCGTCGGTGTAARATCAAATCTTTTTTTGTTTCAGAACGAGTTATAACGAGCGGGTTTTCATGCATCGAAACCTCGTATTTGCGTTTTTTATGAGGACAGCCACATTTTTCATTGACTATTACACAGGAATATCAACCTCTACCAGCCTAAAGGTAACATTGATAGAGACGCCACTCAGATGGGGAAAGATCAGAAAAGTGACAAGAGTCGAAAGATGTTTATTGTGTTTATTGTTTATTGCGTGTTTATTGTATTGGAAGTGAGTTGTGAGTAATTTTGAGAGATTTTTCTCTATTTTTGTACCCAGGTTGCTTTCCTTTTATTCATGCTTGTTATTGTTTGTATTTCTGTTTAGGGTGTCTGCGATTTCTTCTGGATACTCAATCGTTATTTTGCTGTGGCTGAAATCACGTGGATGCTAAATGATGCAATTTACCTTCTACGGAAAATACGCCATGCTTTCGATTGCAACCCCTACCATTTGTACTTCACCTTATGGGGGTGGGGTAAGTCATATAAGTCTGACACACATTTGTAACAACTGACAAGAATYGCCTCAATTATATTTGATTATCTTTGATCAAATGAAATGTAGATTATCAATCATTGATAAATAATGTACAAACTCGATACACTAAAGTTTTACTTTTGGAAAGAATATTAATAGATCCAAATTTCGAGTCTTTCTGAGCGTCTATCGATGAACAAACATACTGTGACGTCATTGTACTCAGCGTCACAATTTGTTTTTGTTGCTGTCGTTACGCAGTTATGCCATTATAACGTACATTAGAGCTAAGTTGTCCTTTGAAATTTTAAAATCTTGTGTAACTTGCATTAGAGGATCTCGTACTCCTTTTTTCAGAAAGTTTGAAGATAGTTTTTTCGATTTTAATATTAATGTTAACCTTGCCGACATTCAATAGATTTTTTACATATTTTTAATTTTTTTTACTTTGTATATAGTTCATCGTTATTCTTGTGTTTTTTTTTCTTAGATTTTTCTAAATTTTTTGTGAATAGCTTTTTATCCTTTCGCAGATTTGTAAATAGGATTTATTATGAATTTCAGATATGCCATTATATAGTAAAGCCACTGTTCTTGTTGTCATTAGGTTTCCCTTTCATTCTCACATTTGTGTTCTACACTCCRGTAATGTACTTCTTGAATTTAAACGAAAAAAGGTACGTAGACTTTCTTCGACTGATTAAAGAATCCCAACCAACCACTCGCGCTCTCGTTATTGTTTACATACGGGAAACCACTTCCAAACCTCGTCCCCAGGGCTCTCTCTTCTCGTTRTTGAAGTTGTTCTACGAATTCGCTATTTTCGTGTCTACCTAAAATGGCGCTTCGGCTCGCAAAGTACAGCTGCTGGTTGTGATTCTTTAACAAGACTAAATTATATTCACACCATAACTCGAAGAACATAGCTAAGGATTGAAATATGTACATGAAAATCTATCCTCCTCCGCAGTTAACTATCCAAAGACGTTTTTTTTCGAGTGAAGGGGATTCCTTTGGCCTTTTTCTTCCCACTCCCCCTTCGTCTGTTGTATATTCATTCCCAGACTACCCAAAAGAGAGTGAGAGAATTGCCTGGGGAGGAGGCTGATGCAAACCAAACCTTGAAGAAACACTCATTGTTACTGACGTTGTGTATAATTTTCAGGTGTTGGACTCATTTAGGGCAATTCTTACACAGTTTGGTCATATACGTTCCTTTGACGATCATGCTTATCGTGAGTCCCTCTACTTGTTTCAACCATCGAATCTTACATGTGTCGAATTGAGACATTCGCATTCGCATGCTCTACCTGCATACGTGACTGACGAGGTGTCGACATGTTGCTAAGAAAATTGTACAAAGTAACAGCAACTACGGCTAAAGAAAACCGAGAAACTCAACTTGTAGAAAAGAAACCAGTGGTCAATGAAAAGGCAAAACTGCATGATGTATAGTTTTCCTGAATGTAGATTCAGCCGAAGTAATATATAAAACTTTTTTAAAACCTTCGATTTAGAAACTCAAAATAACTTACTCTTTTACTAGCACTCGGTGTTACTTCTGTATAAGTTCCAGTTCTTAAATAATGTGATCAATGGCAAGTTTATGTTAAACTCAAAGAAAGATATTTTACTAACTCAGAAGTACATAACCATTCTGGTTATGTACTTAGAAGTACATAACCATTCTGGTTATGTACTTCTGACTAACTATGGTAAACGCTCTTGCGCAAAATGTCTAAGCCTTTCATTTTCGTTTGGATATCATAGATCAACTTTGGCATCATGATGTATACTATAAAAGTTCTTTTCCTTAAGATGAGATCTGAGAGTTACTCTGAGGCCAAAGTAGTCTGGTGAGTTTGATGTTAGTCTGTTTTTGTGTGTGTTTTTCATGGTTTTTGTTGTGCTTTTGTATGGATAGATTTATGTTGTAAACACAGATTGAGCAATCGTTGCTTGAGTGGTTTTTTGTTGGTTGCCGTTGTTTAGGTTTGATTCGGTGTTGATTATGTTTTCATGTTTCTGCAGGAAATATGCAAAAGGATCTCTTCTCTTAATGCCCTCGGTTGGGTTTGTTTACCTTGTGACGTTTTTCACTCCAAATGATCATGTACAATTCGATCTCTTTGTGCGAGTGCTTTATCCAATGCAGGTAAGAATAAAAACTCAATGTGCAATTAAATCCAAAGCAAATTCATACCTTAAATTAATGCACTTATATGAAATAACCAAAGTCGTAATTTTTATGCTACAAACTAAACATCCATTTGACATTTTGTTATGAGTTTTGACTCAAGATGGCGGCCGGCGAGTAATAATCTTTCATATACGTAGCTTGCTTACTTTAAGAATGTTCGTGTGTTTATTTTTTAGGGTGTCCGTGTGTATATTCTTTAAGAATGTTCGTGTGTTTATTTTTTAGGGTGTTTCGTGTATTTTTTTTAGGGTGTTTCGTGTATTTTTTAGGGTGTTCGTGTATTCATTTTTTTACGTTGTTCGTGTGTTTTGTTTAGGGTGTTCGTGTGTATATTTTT